GCTAAAACATGTAAAAATAATATTAAAGTATCCAAGACATAGCCAAATATTGTAGCGCCACATCACTAGCGGACATTTGAATTTGCCGACTAGAACGTGGTCGGTTAACCAAGGTGACGGTTAATCGGGAGTTGGATAATCAATGCTCTACTGTATATCTGTTGAAAAAATTTTATACTCTAGTTATCATAGTTGGACCCATTTGAAATAGTTTATGGTAGAATTCTTCTATTGATTTGCACACAGTCAAAGTAAAAATACCAAATTGATCTCTAAAATATATACATCCATTACATATACAAATTAACTGGTAGATAGAAAATTGATCTTGTCACATTCTGCATTGACTATTCTTAACATTTAGATAATTCGTGTTGACTACTAGTTCAATCTAAGCTGCATATAAAATCTTTTCATCTTAAATGGGATTTGAAAATTAATATAATTGTTTGAAGGAGGAAAACTTAAATTGTTAATATACCATGAATGAAATTTTGAGTTCTGTAATTTTTCCATTTCTTGGTTGATTGAGTTAAACATATTTTCCACTAAGATAGTAAATCTGAAGTTCCAATCGGCTTCTGTATTGTTAAATAACATATGATATCCCATATCTGGCCAACATAAGACTAAATTTATTATAACAATTATTTGTGTAATTCCTTTTAACCTCTGCTAATCTTTTAAGTACTTTCAATACAGTATTTATCAGTATATTCTCACTGTTGGCCATTCTTTTATAAAACCTCATAATCCTTATTACCGTATAAGGCTCCAATTGTAACCTATTAGTATCATGATGAATTGCGTAACCAGGTACAGTCCTGTCCAGACAATAAATTTTTCTTATGTATAATAATTGGATTTTCTCAAAGTAAGATAACCAATCCATACCCCACATTGGGAGAGCATAACATATCGAATTTATGACTATTGATAAAAAGAGCTGAAGTTGTTTTTGTATAGAATTAATTTTCATTTTAACTAGTAGATATATTAAATTATTTATTATTCTATTTGCTTTATTTTGAACTTATTGGACATGTTTTCCAAAAGATAGGAATTCATTTTAATTCAACATTAAGTATGAAATTTCTTCAACTACTTTCAATTTGTCATTTAGAAAGTAAAAATCATGATCCTGTTTACCCATTCTTCCTCCTCTTTGAAACGTAAGAATATGAATTTTATTTGGGTTAATATTCATTCCCAACTGAGAGAAATATTTCTGCATTTGATTTAGTTTTCTTTGTAGACCAATTTTAGTAGTCGAAATTAACACCACATCATATGCATATTGAATTGAATGGACTGTCTGATTTTCTACTAGAATTCCACTTCGTGGATTCACTTAGTTTATTAATAATATTTGCTATTTCAGAGGCCTGTATTGGCAGATTCATCACCATCTACTCACCATACATTACAATTACATCTATTTCCGATGAACTAATTTGTATATATCCGATTTCCTCTCCTTGAAAAAATCAAACCATTTGATAAAGTCAATATTATCCTGGTTTTCCATCCTGGACCTCGGACAATATTTTTTCACCATAAGAAAGTGTTATTCTTGTCCATTAATAGTTTTTTGTTCAACAAGTTAAAATAGTTTTTTTTCTTTGCCTTTATAAGATTATTATATATTTTTTTTGAACCACTATATTCAATTAATAGTTCTCTTGATCTATTTTTATGAAATGATGCCAGAGTATATTTTTTGAGTCTTTTGCCTCTATAACAATCCAAATCAAACCATTCCTGTTTAAACTTAGATGTCATTTTGTTTAAGTATTTAATTCTGTGAAGGCTTAATTCAATAATATAGCCATTAAAAATTTTTCTTAATTTATTATAAAATTCACTGGAACTAGTTTCATTCTATCACCTATTTCAGACTCAAATTTTTTAATATTTATATTTCTTTGTTTGTAAATTGACTCCTTTACTTATCTTCTCATTAGAAATAGGTAAATTTGTATTTGATCTGATAGTTAACTGTGTTGGAAAGTGATCTGATAAATCATTATCAAATACCTTCAATTCAACACAATGGTCCAAAATGAATTCAGAACATAATATATAGTCGATCACCAATGCACCTCTTGTCAAAATAAAGGTATGCCTACCAGGATAGTCTGCTACAATATGGCCATTCAAAATAAAAAAATCATAAATTTTAGCAAATTTAATTAGTAAATTTCCTTTCTTGTTGATTCCTGTATCGTGACTTCTTAAATTATAAACCACCTGATTATTCCCATTATAATTAGAATCACATTCATTTTCAATTCTGGCATTGAAATCTCCAAGAATTAATCACAACGCGGTGAAATGTGACCAGTTCAAAAAGATTTTCTCGATTTCTTGAAATGGGCTTTGAAGCATTTTGTAGGGAGGAGTATAATTAGTAATTATTGCCAAATATCCATTGGAGAACCTATTAAATTTATGATTTTCTAATTTAACCGTTACAAATGTTAGGTAAGTACTCCAAAAGGAATAAACCAAATTTCCCAAGGATTTTTTTATTAATAGCATAATTCCTCCCTTCTGCCTACCAACTCCCAGTTATTTTTTTGCTGGAACCAAAATATAATTAAATAATGCTTACAGGAGATCTATCTTCTTTACAGTTAGTTTAGTAATCCAAGTCTCTTCCAGTCCTATAATTTCATACATCTCTAATAGTTTTATGAAATAAATAGAAAAAAATTTATTTCTAACACCTTGGGTATTCCATTTAATAACCTTGATCTCAGAATCTTTGTGTAATGATGAATTTAATTCTTCAAAATTATTGCTACAATTGTTGTTAACATTGGTATTCACAGTACTAAATAAATTAGTCAATTGATTTCTACATCTAAAAAAGATCTAGTATCGACCAAGCAATTCTTTATAAAACTATAAGTAATTTTCTTATTCTTATAAATGACATAATAATTTCTTAATATAATTTGCATACCTTTTTTCTTTGCTTCTACATAAAATGAAAGAATTTTAGCTCTACGATTCCTAGTCTCTTGAGTGAGATCAGGAAATAGTTGCAAATTGCTATAAATATTATCACGGGATACTTTTTTTGTACTTGTAAAAGACTGATAATATTTGATTTTTCCTTTAAACAGTACTTAAAGTAATTTTTAGGATCATGGGTTCTGCTTTTCTTATAATATAAAAACCTGTAATTTCTTCCATTTTAAATTCTGTCAATTTCAGTATCTCCCTAAAGAAATTTATTAGACTTTCTTTAATATTCATATTATCATTTATTGGATAGCCAAATAACATCAGATTAAATTGGTTGGTTATATTTAAAATATTATTTGCCATATACTATTGAGCTTCCAATTTCCTGTATAAATCAGGTAATACTGTTTCTAAATTGTTGACCTTCTGTTCCAATGAACCAAGCTTGGTCTTAAAATCCTTAATATCCTGATGTATCAAACTAATTTCTGTTTTCACTTCCAAAATTTGTTCAGTTATAGAACTGTGTGAGGCCTGAATTAGTTTTGACAACTGTCATAAGCTAGCTGCAGTCGGGCTATTGTCCTTCTCCATCAACTCAAAACAGTCTACTAACATAGATTCAAAATTATTTTCTCTCTCTTCTTCATATACTTTTTCACTCCTCCCCATATCCTTAGAAGTCATAGGTTGTTTATGAAACATTGTTTCCACATTGGCCAATTTAGACACCTAATGGCATTTCTACTTCTGGTCGATGGAGGCAGTTCTCTCTTCGACAGAGAATGAGATAAAGGACCTGGGTTTTGTTCAATTCCAGCCATAATAAGTAAAATCCATGTAATTATCAATAAATATGCCTGAGACTGCCACAAAATCATCTTTAAATAGTCCTTCTTCTTTCTCAAAATAAACTCACTCAAAATTCACGCCAACACCATTGAATGCCTGAAAGCGCCCCTCGATAAAATAAATTATTAACTGTGCAAACATAGATAAATAAACAACTATATGTATAAAAATAAACCAGTTAAATGATCAGGATTCTATCTTTAAAAGTATAGAATGTAATGAATGTAATTTGTATATAAAAATAAATTTTTACAAATAATTGGTATATCTCATAGAAATATCATCAAATAAAAATAAATTAGAGAATTAAAATGCCATATAAATTATTAAATAAATTTTAAATGTTTCAATCTAGATATTTCATACATGCAACTGGAATATTCATTTTTCATAATTTATCACATATTTAAAATTATTAGCACAATTACAGAACATTTACATTTTTTCATAAATCTTGTTATAAAAAAGATTTGAAATTGTTATAAAATATATTTGAAATTATATATATTTTCAAATATAGATTATTTCAGACTCAAATTTTTTAATATTTATATTTNAATAATGTAGCAATGTAGAATCAGTGAAAAATACATTATATTTATAGAACAATAAAAATCAATATTTTTATAAAGGTAATAAAATAATAAAGTATTTTGGATGTTACAAAATCTGATTTAAACAGTAAATTCTTTATAAATAATTGAAAATTACTAAAAATATAAGATCTGGTTTCTAATTATGATATAAAAGTTTTATTACAGACCTTTATTTATTCATTCATATAGTAATACCAGGAAAAACAATACAGTAAAAAGATTAAATAATTTAAATAAATCTTTACTTATGAAAAACACAAAATATGAACATATTAAATATACTGTTATATTTTCTAATTTCTTCAGTTCTGATAGTTAAAGAATAAATTAAATATAAAAAAAACTATCTTATTTTTGATTTTAGTAAAATATAATACATAAAAGAAATTATTTTCATTTACAAAAATTAAAATATTAAAACTTATAATTTTCATTAAATAATTTAATTTGATAAATAAATTATTAAATTAATATAATTTTAAAATATGTTGATCAACTGGAAGACAATTTATTACTTATAAATGTATTTGTAAAATAATTAAATAAAATAACATTGTTAAAAAATACTTTAAAACTAACTTTGTGAGTGCATATTGTAAGAATTTTCCCAATGTTACAAATGCTTCACGATGAAAATTTATGTATAATGTTGTAATGTCAATTACTAAAGAATGTTCAACTTGATGGAAATGACTTTTAAATTCAGGGCAGTTAGCAAGTACCTAAAATACAAATATATTGCAAAAATTAAAAAACAAAAATCAATTTAAATAAATATCAAAAATATGTTTATTACAACTTACCTTGCGATATAAAATTGTGATCATGTCAGATGTATGTTTTGAACTAATCAATTCTAAGTATTCCCCCGATGAACCTATAAATATTTTTGTAAATGCAATTAAACGAATTTTAAAATAATTTTATATAATTAGTTTATGTAAACAAATTAAGTTTAAACTTTTAATTTTAGTTTAATCTGCATTCACATAATCCATACTTGCCAACTTTTAGAATGGGAAACAAAGGGATGTTGGTAGAAAAATGCTGATTTTTGAATAAAAATGCTAACAGCATAAAAAGTAAAAAACTTCTTTATTAACATAGATATTGCACAAGGCTTATATTAAATACCTTTAATAAATAAAATTTAATTTATCTGCATATGATATTTTATAAAGCAGGGATGGCCAACACATAGACCGCGATCGACCGTTCGACCAAAAAAGTTTTGAAAGTAGCCCGAGAAGCTAAAGTTGAACAATTTGTTTCCACTTAAATTAATGTTTAGAAATCTTAATTCGATAATTTATTCTTACAATAATAGACTGTCTGTGCAATGTACCGATACTGTTTGTATTTATCCCAATGAACAATACAAATGAATGTTAACACATGCGCATATAAAAATCCTAAAATTGTTTGCCCATATTCATAGTCGCCCACAGACTATACCAAACTTTACCAAAAAAGTAGCCCCTAAGGGATAAAAGTTTGGCCACACCTGTTATAAAGCTATTGCCATAAACACTATCAAGAGTATAACAAAAGCTTTATACTCTTTAACATTATAATTTTAAAAATGTCAAGTATCCCAAAGATGTGTTCCATCTTGATTCATAGGAACCTTGATATTGTTGCCTGATGAGTGCCTCTTGCTATATGCATTTGTTCTATGGTTTGCTTTGTTAGTGTTACAGTGTACTCATGACAGTTGCTATCAGTCAGTTTGTTCTTATTAATTCCAGTGAAAGTCAATAATGATTTTTCTGGTTGTGATTTATTTCCTATCTCTGTCTTACAGAGGAAGTCTCTGTCTTACTATTTTAAAGGATTGCAGCTCTCCACATTTGTAAGGCTTATAGGACTGCACCCATTAGTATCAGGTCAGTCCATAAGTTCGTGAGTATTTTATGACCTTGAGAAAAATCTTGTTTTGCTGTTAAAAATGCCAGTGTAATGTAATACTTTTTACACTGAAGTGTTAAATTGGATCTCATTCATATAATACTGTTCAGAATTGGGAACATTTCAGTTGTTTATTTTCGTTAAAATGGAAGTAACAGATGAATATAAGAGACACGTTTTATACTTTTTATTTTTAAGTGATGAGAATGCTACAAATGCAACCAAAAAATTAAATACTGTTCATAATCAAACTGTAACAAGTGTAAGGACTGCGCAGAAGTGGTTTGAAAGATTTAGAAATAATGATTTTAGTGTGGAGGATAAGGCTCATACTGGAAGACCTGTTGACTTTGATGATGATGCTCTCTCTGCACTAGTTGAAGCAGAACCATCTTTAACAGTTGATGAAATTGCGGAACGTTTAAATTCATCCCATGGAACTGTTCATAGACATCTACAACAAATCGGAAAAGTTTCAAAGCTAGGAAAATGGATACCACATGAACTGTCAATAGCTAACTGACAACGTCGTCAACTGCTCAACTCAAAAGCTTCAACTGGGAAATTTTACCTCATCCACCATATTTGCCAGATATTGCTCCCAGTGATTATCATCTCTTTCGGAGTTTGCAGAATTTTTTAAAAGGAAAAACTTTTGAGGATGAGAACAATGTAAAAAAGGCTATTTCTGAATATTTTGATTCAAAACCGAAATCATTTAACAAAGACAGGATTAAAAAGCTACCATCAAGATGGCAAGAAATTGTACAAAATAATGGTGAATACATTATAGATTGAAATAAAATTTAGTTAAAATTTTTTGTTGCTTTTTTTGTAGATAAAAATGCGCACAAACTTATGGACTGACCTGATACTTCTTTTGGTAATGTCAGGGTTGACCCCTATTGACTTAGAAATTAAACACATTATTTGGCAGGAAAATCCCATCAGCTTACCCTGACAAGATTATAGCAACTTAGATGTCAACAAAATGATGAGAGTAGATAAGATTTCCCCCAGTTTGACCTTGGTCGATGGTATCAAAAAATTCAGCATCGACAAAAATACCCTCCCAACTTACGATTACCACTCCTCCCATCAGCTTGCCCAACATTTACTTCAAAGATCCAGGTGATCATCCATGTTTAGGATTTACACTGATGGTTCCAAGATGGATGACAATGTGGGTGTCGCTTTTGTAGTTTACTTCAACTTAGGCCACAAGCTCTACAATGCTTGTGTGAGAGGCCAGACTTGAAAAGAAAATTTTATTCAAAAATTTTGTTCAAAAAAAAAAAAATTGCTATGGATATGATTATATCCTTTCTTACGGACTTATTTCCCTGTTTGAGAGTAACACATCGAATGTGTCACTAGGAATCAAATGTGAAAAATCACCATTGGACGTGAAGAACAATTTTACCAAAAAAGGACAAGAACTGCAAGGGGGAGGACCCCAAATAAAGGAGAAGGTTCGATGACACGATAGAGAGTTCGCCCGACAGAAGAGTTCACGTCCTTGAAGGTTGGTCATGTGTGTACACTCGAATACAATTTACCGCTGATGATCCTCCAATAGCCAGTAATAAGAAGCTTAACCGCTGATAGCCAATGAGTCCAAGTATCCACCAAGAACATGTCTTCACCAAAAAAGGACCCAATTCAAGAAAGTGGTCTTCAGGTAAATACCACGCTCGAACAATTGTAAACTCTCTCTCTAAAAGCATAAGTGTAACTAGTTTAGGCCTATATAATCAATAAACAGATATTAATTTCTATAATCGAATTGTAAAGCACATTTCTTTAGCCTAATTGGTCTTTATCCCGAGTCCAACCGCCCACAGACTCATGCGTAAATTCGAACGTAACGGTCTCTGTGTCTATCCAGAAGATACAGTGGTGTCAGTCCTGATAAATTTGTTATTGCAGTCTTCGCTGACGCAATGTCGACCCTTTGATCCTGTGGTGCCGAAGCATAGAGGGGACCCTTTGGCATTACCACACTTGCTTCCATCTAGGTACACACTGCTCAATAGCACAGGAAGAAACTTTAGCTATTTATATGAGCTTAATTCACATTAGGCATAGGAAAGACAAAAGACACTACTTACACTATTGCATTTATTCTGACAGCTTTACACAGGATTGCGAAGTCTGATAGCCACTTAAAAGTTGTCCATCTCATACACCACATTCTCAGACACTTAGACAACAACATTAGAATAGTTTGTTGTTGTCGAAACCGTGTTGTATTTATGTATTGTATACTGGCCCAGTGTTGAAGAAAAGTCACTTCATTGTGCCAGTATACAATTAGAATAGTTTTCCAATGGGTCCTGGGTCATGTGGGGTTCTCAGCAACGAGACTGCTGACCATCTTGCCAAACAAGCTGCAAAGTCTTCAGTCACTAGCACTTTCAGTTACATTCCTATCTCGTACATCAACAATCATGTCAAGAAGCAAATCTTCATTCTCTGGCAAGACAGCTGGGACCATGACACCACTGGTAGGTTTGCCTACACTTTCATCCCCAAGGTTGACATTACTGCAATTCTTTGCCACTTTTACTCTAGTTACACCCTCACTCAGCTACTTACAGGACACGGCAACTTTAAGCAATACTTGCATAGATATAACTTGGAAACAATCCACAATGTGATTGTGGTATTCAGGAGAACCAAACACCACTTCGCTTAGTTTTTCGCTGCAATAGATACAATCAAATTAGGGATAGTTTAATGAGAGCTGCTATTATTGAAAGGTACAACTGGCCTCGCAACCCACATCATCTCATACACATGCGTACAATGTTCCATCATCTAGTCGCATTCATATCCCTTAGTGGGACTCTTGGGAGCACTCTCTCTGGGGGCACAGATAGCAATTAGTTTTCCTTGCTTTGTTTCAACTGTTGGTATAGAGATGCTTTCAATTTTGTATTTTAATTCTTATTTTCCATCTTCTTTTTGGTCTAAATTCGGTTAGTTTAAGTTAGTCCTAGTTGTAAGTTAGATTAGGGATTCAGCTTGATTTCTGGTTAGGTTTGTCCTAGGTTATGGTAGGTTAGTTTAGTTAATAAGTAAGTTAATGTTTAAAAAAATAAAAATAAAAAATAAAAATAAATAAATTAATTAATTAAAATTTATAAAAAATTTGGGGTCTTGCATGTTTGTCTTTTGTCCGTCCATTTGGCTCATCTAGTTTGTCGTTGTGTTCATTTATTTTTTCACGCTGTCTGTCTAGCTGTTAAGTAGTATTAAGATTTGCACTCACATTCAGTTTCATTAGCATTAGTAGTTATAAGTCTTCCTACTAACAGCCACTTGGCACTAACTTCTACACTTAGCTATTCATAGCAGCACTGAATCATTGGTGTTCGCTACACTCAGGTTTTCCTTTAGACCCTTCAGGGGACTCTGGCCTTGCAGCCTAAAAACTTCTCGCCAACATCAAACATAGAGGGTACTGTAACCATATGTATGCTGTTCAGAGGGATCTTACCTTTCTCTATTATCTATCTCCTCTCCCTCCTTCTTCCCCCCCTTTCCCTTACCCCTTTTTCCACCAGCTAAACACCTCATATATGACCGAAGTCTTTCTTTTATGTATGTATGCATGTATGTATGTATGTATGTATGTATCTCTGTCTTACTTTTTCTTATCATACAAAATATTTTTTACATTTGCCACACCACAATACATGGGAGTCCTACAATGCTGTGTGAAAACCATAATCAGCCTATTTTACTATTTTATAAAGATTACAAATCTTTGTAAAGTCTTACAAATCTTAAAGAACCAACTGGTTTCTTTTCTTGAGAAAATTCATATGGTTTGTATATTCTTAAGTGATGAATCAAATGTTTCTTATTTTTGGGTGGAGAAACTGTAAAGCTGTTCAATAATTTGGTTTAACTATAAAAGTAACTCATTTCCTTCTGATGATGAGTTAGCCATAATTGATTTAACTACCACTGTAAGAGCACTAACACTGCCAGACTTGAAGATGCAATTTATCATATCTGCCATTTAAAATTATTATATTTGAGCTAAAATTCTCATATCTACACCAACATACATACATAAAAATGTCAATCTTGGTTCATTCCCAATTGAATGGTTCACTTCAATTGTTTATAATAAAATATATACAAGACGGTCATACAACATGTACTATATATCGGTATTAGATTTGTTAAATCAAGTGTTTATGTGGTAACATCAAATACTTTAAAAAAGCTGACACAAAAGGCCTGTCCACTTATGGAGCATACAGGTCAAATGGAAAAAGTGGCCTGTCCACTTATGGAGCATACAAAACACTTCTGGTCAGTGCCAAATGCTGCTGGTTGCCAAGTATGACAATCAATAATGACAATGACAAAAATTAGTATTTTTATTGTTTTTATCTCTAAAATATTCACATTGGTCATTATCTTTGCATTTTCATCTTAATCATTCATTGTTCATAAGGTGGAAAAGATTCAACATTTTTTATTGTTGTAATAATATTGACCAATCAACATGAATTTACCACATTTTCCTAGGAACATGATGAAGGAACATCTAAAGACATTAGCTTTACAATATATTTGGAAAAGATTATAAAGGTATTGACAAAAAAAATAAAGTTGGAAGGAAATTCCAGTTTTACTGAATCTGCCTGGTACTGTAAGTATTTTAAAATTTAACTTTATAATAATAAATGTGGGGTTTATTCTTTATTATTAGTAATAAATTTGGATGTCAATGTTGAATAATTAATGTTTTTCTGCAAATCAATTTTTAAAACAGAGAACCATCTGGTCTAAAACAAGCAAAAGTCCATGAAATAATGCTAAACCTAGTGTAAATTGTACACATTCTAACATACAATGTGAATGTTTTGGCAATTAACATATACAACAAAAGATATATGGTTGAAAACAAATCTCATTTAGATTTTAAACCATAAAATTTAAAAACAAATTTGTTTTCAACATTATCCTGATAATGTTGAAAACAAATTTGTTTGACCTGATGAAGATCTTGTTTAAGGTTGAAAATGTTTGTCAAGTTTTAAAGTAAATTTTGTTACTGAATGTTAAAGGTTTCATTGATTATGCTTTGTAATTCATTCCCATTATTGAGAAGAAGGTCATTTGTTTTCAACAGATTTGTTTTTAAAAATGGTTCAAAGTATCAAATTCTGTTATTCTTCTCCTTTCATTCTGCTAAAAAGCTAAACATAAACAATTCTCCTAATTATAAAAGAAGAAAGCATGATCATGATAAACCTTCAATTGAGGAAGTCCACCCCCAATTCAGAAAGCAAAGTAAAAAATTGTTCAGAATAACTTTGAATGGATATCCTGAATCAGCAAGTCAGTTGTATTTAAAATAATGGAAGAGGTAAAAAAAATTAATAGAAGATGTAAAAATGATCATTCACTGTAATTATGTGATACAAACAATGCTATGGATTGTGATGTTATATCCACTGAAGAGGCCCTGTTATAGTCAGGGCGAAATGCATTTGTAAGTAATATTAAATTAATAAACTAGTTCCTTTTAGAAGAAAGGTGTAGTCTAAGTAACTATTTAGTTTTAAATAATTCTCCTCGAAAATCAGTAATGATAGAGAAGAATCATTTTTCATCGTTATTTTTAAAAGTATTTTAAAGTAATTTAAACTTTAACTTTTTAAATATAGCCTTTTTAACTTGCAAAATAATCAATCCCATTGTTAAATTTTACAAATATATTTTAATATAAAAATTATTACTTTCTATGAATATTTATAAATATCAAATTAAGAAATAATGGACTTGAATATTTTATAATACTAATACAAAATTATTAATTTATACCTGTATGTAATTTATCAACCAATTGTATTCTTCCCAAGCTTGCTTGAAGAGCTGGACCAAATTCCATTAATGCAACATCAACACACAACTTTTCAGTTCTTAACATTAAATATGGTTTATCTATATGATCACTTGAACGAGCAAAATGAACTACCACTTCTCCAATAAGAAAACGTAAAAGAATATTGATGGTGTTACTTGGAGAAATATTATCATCAAATCCTGGTAAATCAACTTTTCTTGCCCATTCTTCAGGTTCTTCATCTGAATGATCAGAAGTTGAATAATAACGTTCAACAGAACCTGTTAAAAATAAAATTTTATTTTGTATAACACATAATATAATATTGAGGTATCAAATAATATAAAATTAATAAATATAGTAGTTATTTTGTATATTACTTAATTATGAGAAGACAATTAAATGTTTTCTCATATTTAAATATTTTAAATAAGGCAAATCTAATACTTCCATTTTATTAGTTAATTAGCTGTTTTTAAAATACTTTCATGAAGATTGCAGCTTGAAAGCAGTTTTCCTCTAAAAATGTTGATTTTAAATTCAATATTTTCTTTAAATTATCCAAAATACTGTACATCTAAAATTAAATTAGTTTTGTTATTTTGTTTATTATTACTATAGTTACATAATAGTTGCCACCCTGCAAAGAGTAAAAGATTTAATATAAATTTGTATCTCTAAAGTTTCCATTGAAAACAGAAACTTCAAAAGGTGTAGGGCATCTTGTTTCTCATTTGAAATACAGTTATATTGCAGTATCAAATTTCCTGATGCAATGGAAGGTTTTCTTTAGTATCCAATGTGCTATCTGAATTGTATAATCCTGGTATTAAAAATTTCTTCAAAATGCATTTGTGAAAAATTCAAAAGTTTCTTTAGCAAAAGCAAAAAGTAGGGACAATGCCATTCTTAGCATCTCTTCTTGTTTCAGTAGTATTTTGTCTGTGTTCTACCACAGTTGTGAAGTTTAGTGATTTTTATCACAAAATTAAAATTACTTTCATCTCTATACTGGAATCACAAACACACTTTAAAAAAAACCTTTAAAGTGTGCTTGTGATTTTATATATTACAACAACCTATGTGTTAACATTATATAAATGTGAGAGATCAGATGAGATGGAAATTTTAATTAACCACAACAAAATATATCAAATTAATTAAAAATCACACTTAAATTTCTCATATTATATAAAGAAANGTGTGCTTGTGATTTTATATATTACAACAACCTATGTGTTAACATTATATAAATGTGAGAGATCAGATGAGATGGAAATTTTAATTAACCACAACAAAATATATCAAATTAATTAAAAATCACACTTAAATTTCTCATATTATATAAAGAAAAATTTTCCCAACACTTAATAAAAAATGGAAGGATGTGATCGCATCTTTACCTGGATTTACTTCCTTTCCAAAGATGACACATCTTCTGAATGTATGTGTCACCAGGAACTTTCACCCAAAATTCATCTATTAGTCAAAAACCTTAACATTGCCTAAAAAGGGCATCAAAATCAAGGCGAACATCAAAGCCGACAATAGGAGTTCACCAACCTCCTTTTCTTGTAAGTGCTCCATCGCCAATCCCTTCAACCGCTGTTTGCTATAGATGTCTTAGCAACGAACATTTGACAGTGAACTGTAACATCAAGGAGACTAACTAGCTGAAACCTCTCCATCCTGTCATCAGGACATTTTTCGACCTCATGACATCGATCAAGCCGATCAAGGTATTTAACATCATGCGTAAAAATGTAAGCTCTCTCTCTCTGGTTAGGAACCCATTAACTTAGTATTAGAACTAATCAATTATGTTACACTATATCAGCCCTATCCAGTCCAGTATGTTATGCTATGTAAGCTATGTTACACTACTAGAACGCTCTATTATCCTAAGTATACATGCAAATAGTTTACATAAATAAACAAGTATTATTTCTTTATAATTAAGTTGTAGTGTGCACTTCTTTCCGCACGTTGTCTCTCAGATGTTCAACCTCTTGAATCCGACCGCTCACACACGCAACTGCTCTCGCATGAAATGAACGACTCACCATCACTGATCCTGACATGGGCATCACCAATCCAGTGCCGACCCTCTGGTCACAGTGATGTCAGAAGTGGAATTTGATTTATAAGTTAAATTGATGCCAAGCATAGTTCTATAGGATGGAGGCAAGAGGAGAGATAAATCCTCCAGAATGCTTGCAAGAAGAGACAACTGGAAGTGCACTCATGGCAGGCGTCATTCCTTTAATACCCACCTTTTCGGGGACTTGACAGGGCTTAGAGAAACTGCTTTTTTCGAATCATTGGATGAAATAGCTAAATTAACCAATTGGGCAAAAGGCGCAGTGTTTAGGAGTCACCAAATTAAAGCAAACTGGAATAGCTAGAGATTTCACGTGGAAAGATGTGCAAATGAAAGTAGTAGACAAATACAATGAGTTTAAGAAACTTATGATCCAGCGGTTTGAGAAAGAATCGTATTCTTTGAGGCTACAGAAATTTTATGCTTGTGTCCAAGCTCAAGATGAGGACGTACAAACTTACACAGTTAGACTGCAAATGCTAGCAGCTGAAACAATTATCGAACAAACTAGCAATGACACCCGTGAGGCAGAAATCATCAAAAGATGTCAACAAAAGGAAAGGGAAAAATGGTTGTGAATACAATTTTTAAATGGCCTAAATGAAAAAATAAGGTGACAAGTGATGTCGAGGGAGCCTGATACATTTGATAAGGCAGTATGAACAGCAATAATTAAGGAAACTATAGATCAATTGACGGGGAAATCCCGAGCGATAATAAGAACAGTTAATAATTCTGGCGACAAACGACAGGAACCTAACCCTGATAACCAATTAGAAAAACCACTAGCAAAGATTCAAGAGAAACTAAAAGAACTAAAGACTCAGAAGAATAGCCAAAACAAGACTAGGCATAAGGTCTCACCATTTTGGCATTCTCCAGAATACCTGGATTGTAGAAGACAATATTTTCCCAGAGGAGGAAGACTAAGCAGCGACTCTTTATACTATAACGAACCACCAGATGGTAGAGCGACCAGGATAGGGATGCCCAAGAATCCAGATATGCTCCCCAATCTGGAAGAAGAAATGTCCCAGGCAGACCAAGAGGGAATTTGCAAACCCAAACAACTCTGACTCAGCCTAAGAGACCAACATATAGACAAATCAATAAAGTAAGCTGGCGAAGATTTAGAAAGGGCTACAAAGGAAAGCTACAATTTTCCTCACCATTCACAAGTAGCTTACTCACCTCCCTGAAAGAGAATAATCATTTCTGATGTACAGTTTTAACAGATGTGCACAGAGTGGGGGAAGAAATAAACTTAAGATTTTGAGATTGGAACGGAATTCAAACTATAAATTCTGATCTGGAGCCAAGTTTATGTTGTAGAATCAACGGATATCTAGCTTGATTAACAATAGATACTGGCTCCAAAGTGACACTTTTGTCATGATTGCTGGCACAGAGGGTGGCCAGAATAGAATTAATAAGGAGAGAAAGGAAGGTGCTGTTCCAAAGTGTTACGGGTCTTATTAGAACTTACGGAGCAATGGAGTTCCACTTTATAATAGGACCACTAAAGTTTGCTTATTCTTGGTACAAGGTGGACGATCAGATTACACAACCATTTGACGGCTTGTTAGATCAGGATATAATTAAAGCGCACAGGTATTTTTTTCTTTTAATAATATGCTTATCGAAAGAAAAAATAATACTCCCAGAGGAGAGGAAATTGACTTCTGGAAAGACCCTGGATCAAGAGGAGCAATAAAAAGCGTTCAGACGGAAAGGAAACGGAATTTCAGAGGCACATATGCAAGGGCTAGAGCTAATCCAGTCTCTAATTATATATCCATCACCCAAAACAACCCACACGTGATCCTCAAGAGCAGACTCGAAAGATAGTATTATTAACTGATTGCAATCTTCCTCCTAGATTGGAAATAATCACAATGGCAAGGATAGCCAGAATAAAACAAAAGGGGGGGATAGGAATTATAGAGTCAGGAACATTTAACCAAGAAGGGATCATAAGAGCAGATGTCTTAGTAGAAACCAAGAGGAGAGGACCAGTGCCTGTCCGAATAACAAATATTCAAAGCAGCCTAGAAAATTAGTTAAAGCTAAGGAAATTTTTGGGGCTGTGGAAGACCAAATCCTCCCAAACACAAGTCTGAATCCTATCAGCCCACAACCTACTCCAAATCTAACTAAAAGCAAATTCAGTCAGTTATTCAATTGGTCTCACATTGGGAAGGATAAAAAGCAACCATTATTAAACTTACTATATAAATACAAACACATATTTGCTACAAACAATTATGATTTGGAATATTGTCAGGTAGTGGAACACAAAATAAACACTAGGGATGCCTCACCCATATATTAACCTCCATATCAGATACCGTATGCTCAGAGAGAGCAAATGAATGAAATTATTGACGAGCTATAGAGCATGAAGTGATAAAACATTCAGAGTCACCAGAGAAAGCAACAAGAACACAGGAGATTGTTACCTCAGCCCCACTTTTAAAATCACCAGATTTCTCTAAACCATTTATTTTAGCTACGGACGCATCTAACAAAGCTATAGGAGCAATCTTATCCCAGGAAGATGAAAGAGTAGAAATGCCCATTGCTTATGCTAGTAGAATGTTATAAAAACCTGAAAAAACTATAGCACTACAGAAAAAAAATGTTTAGCAGTGTTATGGGCCACCAAATACTTCAAACTCTATTTATACAGGAGAAAATTTACCATAATTACAGACCATTGACTATTAAGATGGCTTATGAGCAATAAGGACTCTTCCACAAATTCGCGAATTGCTCGATGGGTCATATTCCTACAGGAATTCGACTTTGAAGTAAAACACAAAGAAAATGTGTCACCTTTGGAAAGGAAGTAAATCTGGGGAAAGATGCACTCACATCCTTCCATTTTTTATTAAATGTTTGGAAAATTTTTCTTTATATAATGTGAGAAATTTAAGCATTTTTTAATTAATTTAATATATTTTGTTGTGGTTAATTAAAATTTCCATCTCCTCCGGACTCTCACATAAATGTTAAATTTATATTTACCAATATTTAATTTAATTTTTGTAGTTATATATCATTATGTTTGTGTTCCAATTTAAAAAAATAATAATATTTTAAAAAGTTATTTTGTGTATTCCAATTTGGAATATCATCAATTTAAAGATCTGAAGCATACCTTGAGTAAGGTAAAAAACATTTGTCAAAAAATTTTTTACATTAAAAATTTGGTTACTGGACTTAAAACACACTTTAAGATAATCTTTAATCACAAAATTTCAGTGAAATCTTACAAGCTTATTCTTAACTATTCATTAGAATAGGCTCACTAGGCTCACTTGTTATTGATCAATAACAAGTATTCACAAACAAAGATCAATAGTTAAGAGTTAGAAATTAACCAATTACCATTCATTTTAATTTTAGTATGTGAGCAATTATTGGCTAACTTGTAACTCTCTTGTTCTTTGGTTGAATATGAACATGAAATGACCTCATTAAGTGTTCATTAGTAAAGTAATTGAAGTATGTAATGTTTAATATCAAAAACATAATTATGAATTAATTGGTAAATAGATGTTTTGTAGTGTTTTAGTGCACTTGGAAAAATTGGTTGGCATTTTGTATGGATCAAGAATAAGTTAGATGTTTTCCTTAAGAAATACTGGAAAAACTTCCTGGTATCCAAATTTCCAATATTTGACTTGTTTTCAGGAACAAATTACATTTGATTAATGGGGGATGATTTTATATAAAAATAAATACTCAAACAAATTATAAAACAAAAAAAAAACATTTAATGTATTGTATTGTTTTTCTTTTTATGGCTGCAATGAACATGTTAGAGATCAAACTTCAATGAAAATTAAACATTTCATTAATAATTTCAAAAATTAATTGAAAATGCAATTATAAATTCTGGTTAATGTTACCCTAGGTATCGAAGATGGTGTCGGTTGGCAATTTGGCCAGTGCTTCCAGTCAGTCGCCATTTTGTTTGTGTGCGCAAACAAGATGGCAAACTTGGCAGTGGCAGCAGTGCCGCAAAAAACAAAAAAAAAAAAAAAAATCAAATTACAAAATAAAATAATAATTAAAAAATTACTTACTTTAATGTTACACTAGTTATCGAAGATGGCGACAGAGGTGGTCACCGATTATTTTAAATCTGGCATTATTACTAAAAATAAAAATTGTCAGACGATAAAAATGTACTTACATTCGATTTAAATGCTTCTCTCTTTTTTTCCTACCACCCCACTTTGTGCTTTTAAGTTTACAGCCTTTTTCGTACTTGCGCTTACAGATAACTATCTTGTCTAGTTTGACTGTTTTTCTTGGACCTCCAATTTTAAACGATAGAATATTGTGCAAAGCTACTAGCATCACAAATTGAACATGATTCAACCAGTTGACGGCGACCTTATTAGAAATTCTGGCAGCATTAGCTGATGTGGTAGTTGAGCATTCCAATGCTAGATAATGCCATATAAACGACAATATGCTACTCCAAGAAATTTTACTGAATTTACCTTTAAAAGTTCCTTCAAATGCCGAACTGTTGTTCCAGCATTTTTGACATCTCATTGCACAAGATTTTCTATTGTCATGATGAACTACTTTGCAAGGTTTCGAACATTTTGAGCATATGTCAGCAACATGCTGTAATCCTAGTTTTACTGCAAATTTGAACCCTTTATCAATTCTGGGATTCAAACCCAGAATCGATAAAGAATGACAGACATTCGAGAAGATGGAAAAGGTCACGGGAGGTGCATCCCAGCCAAAACTCTCCAGAGTTAATATCCAAATTACTCATTTGTGGAAGAAATTATTAAACAGAATATCCGACAAAATAAGTATAAATTAAACGTTTAAAAATGTATTAATTTATAATTAAATTAATCGAAAACTAAACAAAATAACAAATTTTTACAACAAACCAACCGTTGTCATGCAAATCTAACTTTTGCACTCCCCTCATTGATTAATTTGCATATCACACCATGTTAAAATGCAGCGCCCTCTATTGCAAACATCACTCGGTAAACCAATACGAGATTACCAGAAGTGATGCCATCTTCGATACCTTAGGTCAGACATAAAAAAACTGACACACAAACTGGAAATATATACTAAAACAACCACTTCACACCTAAGCGATAATTCAGCAAACGAACAATAAAAAAGATTTAATGTTCAAACGTTTACGGCCGTCTTTCAGAGGCCCTCGTCAGGAAAAATTGCATAGAACAAAAAACAGCTCTATCTCTAACAGTTTTTGAACATAGCTGTGTTCTACTTTTTAACATTTAAACAATGTTGAATACAAAGATCATTACATATTACAACATATAATTAAAATATTTATAAATAAAGTTATAAATAAATACAATAATAATATATATGGTATTAATATATAAAATAATATATCTGGTGGTAATAATATATTCAATGTTAACAGTTAGCCTGATGTTCGTTTGCTGGAATTATCACTTAGGTGTGAAGTGGTTGTTTGATACCTACGGTAACATTAACCTAAATTCTTAACATTTAACTTATAACTATTATAATTTCCAATGACTTGATAAAAAATTTTCTCAAGGAAATTTCAAATGACAAAAAAAAAAAAAAAAAAAAANTTTAAATAAAAATAAGTAAAATTAGATATATGTACCTATTTATAAATATAGATTCTAATTTGCTTTTAGTAATATACATATAAATTAAAAAAATAGAAATAATTAAATTTTATTTATACAAATAAAAATAATTTTCAAAATATATTTTATCATTAGAATTAATAATAAAAATAGGTTGTTATTATTTCTTAAAGAAAGTTAGAATAATAATATACTATAAATCTCATAGCATTTCTTCATTAATACAATTCAATAATTATTACTTATAAAACATTATTATTAAATTATATTTCTTTTATATATTATCTTTCTTAGATTTGTTAGAAAATACATTTTAATATAATTTAATCTACATTCATGCAACAAAAATAATATTTTAAATAATAAATATTACCAATTACTGAATTTTCTGTTGAAGATCTAGAATCTTTGACAATTTTAGATGATGCATCTGATGTTATTAAAGATTTTATCTTTTTTAATTCACATACTTTTAATTCTAATTTGCACTGTTGATTATCCTAAAAAAAAAAAGGAAATATTCATTAACTAATTATTTCTATTAGATAATTATTAGTTTTTTAATATATTCTTATATTCAATTTTATATCTCATGCAATAATTATTAAAAAATAAAACTGTAAATTACACATAGCAATCTTATAGGTATCTTATATAGAAAATTTTAGTTAATAAAATGTACTGTATCATATACAGTAGGTGATCAGTTAACGAATAAATCGGATAACGAACACTTTCATGAAAGATTTTTATGGTCGGACAATGAACACATGTTCGGATAACGAACACTTCACTGAACAAACACAAGAAGTGACGTAAAATAACGAATACCAATTGGTCTTCCTTTGTCTTCAGGCAACAATTCAAAACTTTTTGGAGTACGGGAGACAGGTGTGTTGATGACAGAACCCAGATGGAAGAAACTTTCTTACTCATTGTAAAGCAAACATGATGTGATGATAAACGGCAGGGGGGAATGTCAACAGAGAGAGAGAGAGCTTTGTCGAGATGCTTGCAAACAAGTGTCATGTTGAAACAATCGAGAAAATGGGGGGGTTTAATGACTAAAAGGACATCTGTTAGGCCTGAACACATTAGGGGTAAATGGCCACAAGAACATCTGGTGGACTGTTTAGGTTCAATGATGCCAGAGAAAAGGGCCATAATGGAGTAAAATACGAACGCAGACTTTAAAAGCTCCGTTATCACCTCTCCGACCTTTTCCTGACCCGGATCGGTCTTAGGTTTTGCCTAGAGACAAAAGAATGACTAATTGGGGTAAGGGAGAGGGTAAATGGGACCAATCAAAAGGGTGATATTCGGGAAAAATCCTATAAAACCCCCCGAATCTCAAGGACAACTAGTCGGTTCTCCTCCAGACAAGTGTTTCCGCCAGTGGCCCAAGATCTCCGTCCATCTGCATTATGACCCATCAGAGTCACCTCCTGTGTAATGAACACTCTTTTGTCAAGCCTGGGACACGCAACGTTGGACACCAGTCTTCACCCGTCCACCGACATCGGGAGCTCCCCAGAAAAAGATCTAGATTGAATTTTCTGTGTCATTATTATGTAAGTTAATTTTATGACAAAAAATAAACGGGTTTTGTAAGACACTTGTCATCTTTGTCTCCTGCCGCCACCACCCACATACGATTCGCCCCTAGGTTTTCCTGATGCGCAATTAACTTATTGCCCCTAAAAGTCGGCAACCTTACATAAATATTTGTGTTTCTCATGATTCACTTTGATGATATTCATAAGCAAGATGTTTAAAGTGTTTAATATATTCATGCTTTATTCATTAAAATTATTTTCATTAAAGTTTAACTATTTAATAAAGAATTGGAGATCTAAAGTGTCTACAAAAATACATGATCTACATTGTTCTGGCAACATGACACTTCATGTAATTAGTGCTTTTTTAAATATTTATTTTAAGTTTGAGGTTAGTAAGTTATTATTTTCTTTGCTTTTAACAAATGATTATCATGTCCAGTAGATGTTCAAAAAGATGTCATTGTCATCTTTTTTCTATATTTTTCTATATTGTTGGCCTGAAAGAACTGTAAAGGATTTTAGACAAGCCATTAACAAAACTTATTATTTTCTTTGCTTTTATCAAATGATTATCATGTCCAGTAGATGTTCAAAAAGATGTCATTGTCATCTTTTTTCTATATTTTTCTATATTGTTGGCCTGAAAGAACTGTAAAGATTTTAGACAAGCCATTAACAAAACTTATTATTTTCTTTGCTTTTAACAAATGATTATCATGTCCAGTAGATGTTCAAAAAGATGTCATTGTCATCTTTTTTCTATATTGTTGGCCTGAAAGAACTGTAAAGGATTTTAGACAAGCCATTAACAAAACTAATAAGGATAACTTTTTTAAAATTACATTAAGTCCAGCCAATAATAATCTTTATGAAAATAACAATTATATATCATCACTGTCATCATTGCTATGGCAATAGACTATATGTCATTAAAAAATTTTTCAGGGACACAAAAATCGTAATTAAAGAAAACATTTTAATGCAACTTTGATCCAACTTTTGGTTTATAGCTTTTACCTTGTTTCCTTTTCAGATGACACTAAGGAAAATTAGAACAAATTGCACATTTAATAACTGCCACTTGCACCAAGATTCTTGCATTACATGATTCCCTTCACTTCACATACACTCTCTTGTCATGAGACTGTATTCATTGTTTCTATTAGTCATTAACTTAAAGTGTTTTGTAGGATGCTAAGATTGCTATTTATGATGCTTTTAAATGTATAATCAGAAATGTGAAATTTCATAAATGAAAAACACACACCTAATGTCAAAAACCATATAATCATTGAAAACACTATCTTTCAGCATTATAATACTTTAATATTAACAAAAAACAGCTATACTAGTACTTTTGACATTACAGGAAATCCTCATTAGTTCACAATTCATCGGATGAAATATTCGCAACTTCAAATAATTAAATTTTGAATTATCCAACATTTACATATTTCTGTACAATATGGCAAATGCCAGGTAATTGACATAATTTATTAAGCAAACAGAATATAGCTACTTATACAAAATACTATTTTCATTAATTAATAATTAATAATAATAATATAAATAGACTGCAGATAAACAGCATGTGTCCAGTGAGAACCTCACAGGTCACCAGATAGGTTTTATAAAAAGTAAAGCAGAATTCCTCAAAATTAGCCCAAATTATTTTTAAAGTGGCCCAAAAAGTAGTAAGTCACCCAAAAGTAGTAGCCTAGAGTCCTACAAATATCTCAATCTGCTACTTGTGTCCAATCTTGCAATCCTCAAACCCAGCCATATTTTATGAAGTAAGAGAAAAAGGAGTAGTCTATATGCAAGATGAGACCTGAAAATGTGTTACTGTAAAGGCAAAGTCAAATTGACCAGATTAGAATTGTTCTTGATCTATTGTTCTCTTATAGCATGAAGACACTTTGATATAAACGAATGAGTTAACATACACATATCACAGTTTTGACAGATTTTCACTTCAAATTACAAAGTAGCCCTATTTTGAATTAATTGAATTCCTTAACATATAAATTTCTATATCCCCAGCCAGGACAAACATACAGTTACAAACTAATGGGATTTTACTATCCAAGATCAAATTAACAAGGATTTTCTGTATATTAATGTCTTCTTCAAGCAATATAAAATATATTTAGAATATAGATATGGACGGCAAAGCCATCTTCAATATATCTCAAAAACTGGGTTTGTATAAATATATCACTCATAAAACCAACACCAGCACACAACAAGAAAAAAGGAAAAATTTACGAACATTTTCATCTATGTGAAATATACATCCTCAGGTATATACGATATCGAACAAACAGCTATCAAAAATAGAATGTTTTTTAAAAGTTTGAACTGATTACGTGATTTGAATACATTATGTTAAAATTTATACGTTCAGAATAAAATTTCAAAATATGTATATTATTTAAACAATAAACAAATAAATAAACAATTAATTTCACATTAATTACTATGAACTAAATATTCTCCGTAGTTTAAATTTTCGTTAATGGGAGTTTATGTCGGCAGAATCTAGTTCAAAAATGGCATGTTATGCTGTGGATAGCCTGTTTCCTAGAAGTTAATAGCGACTCCCTGTTTAATTGCACAATAGATCTCAAGTGCCTCGAGATATTTGAGTTGTGCTTTATCCAACACTCTGTGAACCAATTTCGTATTACGTACTTCAACCCAGACTTCCTCACTACCCGCATACGTCGCTAATGCCATGGTTGTCTGCTTTTTTCTTACGGAATATTCATGTTCCTTCATCCTCATAGAGAGACCTCTTGCAGTTGCTCCAATGTATATTAATGAGCAGTTAACTTGGTCATTGTAAAGAGGTACTGCGTAAACTCCTGGAGAGTATGAGTCATGTATATGGTTTTTATCATTTCTGATGAGACAGAAGATTGTTGGAGAGCGTCGATATGCTATGTGCACTTTAGTGGTCCTGGCTATTTCTCTATATACGTTAGAAAGTGTTTTGTTGTATGTAATAAATTTCATTTGTTCTTCTTGTAGAATAGTTCTGCTTCCCTTATTTGTATATTGTTTTATAAGATGTTTGACCAAAGAGGATGGGTATCCATGCTGTGTTGCTAGAGCCTTGATCCAAGATAGTTCGTTTTTCTTTTGCTTCAAACAATGTGTGTGGGCCCTTTTTACCAGAGATCGAAAAGCAGAGATGTGTAACAATAAGGGTCATGTGAATGGTTAGGTATAGAGGTGTATATGACTCCTTACAGAAAACACAGATGAGCAGATGATCATGCTTCATATTGATGTTGATATTAAAAATGTACCATGTACAACTCTCTTGTTCAACTTTTAACGACAGGCCATAAGGGTTATCGCTGAAAATCCTAAGTTGGGAACAGAACTATTCAACAAGAAGAACAAATGAAATTTATTACATACAACAAAACACTTTCTAATATATATAGAGAAATAGCCAGGACCACTAAAGTGCACATAGCATATCGACGCTCTCCAACAATCTTCTCTCTCATCAGAAATGATAAAAACCATATACATGACTCATACTCTCCAGGGGTTTATGCTGTACCTCTTTACAACGACCAAGTTAACTGCTCATTAATATACATTGGAGCAACTGCAAGAGGTCTCTCTATGAGGATGAAGGAACATCAATATTCCGTAAGAAAAAAGCAGACAACCATGGCATTAGCGACGTATGCGGGTAGTGAGGAAGTTTGGGTTGAAGTATGTAATATGAAATTGGTTCACAGAGTGTTGGATAAAGCACAACTCAAATATCTCGAGGCACTTGAGATCTATTGTGCAATTAAACAGGGAGTTGCTATTAACTTCTAGGAAACAGACTATCCACAGCATAACATGCCATTTTTGAACTAGATTCTGCCGACATAAACTCCCATTAACGAAAATTTAAACTACGGAGAATATTTAGTTCATAGTAATTAATGTGAAATTAATTGTTTATTTATTTGTTTATTGTTTAAATAATATACATATTTTGAAATTTTATCCTGAACGTATAAATTTTAACATAATGTATTCAAATCATGTAATCAGTTCATCAAATCACTTTTAAAAAACATTCTATTTTTGATAGCTGTTTGTTCGATATCGTATATACCTGAGGATGTCTATTTCACATAGATGAAAATGTTCGTAAATTTTTCCTTTTTTCTTGTTGTGTGCTGGTGTTGGTTTTATGAGTGATATATTTATAGATATGATTTATTATGGCATAAATGATATGTCTTTCAGCATTAAGATTCTTTTATTGGTAACAAAATTAGCAAATACTTTCAGCATTGCATTAATGTAGTAATTTTCAATTATTGTTCTTTTGGCTTCTTTTGAAATTAATTTATTTAATAGCAGTTTAATACCTCTCGCAGCACACTAGTATGCTGTGAAAAAATCATAGATGTGCCATGAAAATTTTTGAAGGTTATTAAATAAATTAATTTTAAAAGAAGCCCAAAGAATAATAATTGTACATGTCAAAATTAAAACCTCTTTAAACTGATTACACAAGTTTTTCATTGTTATAATAAATAGACAGACATAATGTAGTAAAAAATATATATTCATAAGTAAAATTATATGTGCATAACACTGGGTTATTCATTTAAAATGAAATTTTCTTTAAATCAAAAATGTATCTATAATTGTCCATATTTAATTCAAATTATTTTAACTTAGAAATAGCAGAACATTGGGCAGGTTTCTAAAGACAATTATCATGCCACTTGCAAATTAAGTGGCATGATAATTGTCAAATTAATGCAAATTAAGACTTAATATTAATTGCTTTTCTTATGTAAATGAAAATTCTTAATTTCAATAACTTTTATTGTAACATGCTGCTATTTTAAGAAACAACAATACTGTTTTATTTAATTCACAAAAAAAATACAGACAAAAAGAATTAGGTTAAATGGCAAGTAATATGGTAATAGAATGTTTACAAATGCAAGTTTAAATCACATAATTTTTTCCATGTAAATTTGTGGTTTGGAAATTTAATTGTAGGTTCAATTGTGACATGAGATTAAAAAAATTTGAAAAACAATGTATTAATGTCTTATTAAGACAATATAGAACATATTTATATCTATACTGTCTGAATAAGACATTAATACAATGTTGAAAGTACAAGTATAGCTGTTTTTAACATGCTCCACTATAGTGGAGAGTACTTATGCTAGGATTTTTGTGTGTCATTCGGAGGTGGATCTATCAGATGTGCACACACATGCGCAATGACTTCACTTTTGTTACCTAAGTGTTATGTTCCGTTCAATCCATTTATTGCATATGTCCATGTGCATACACAACAACTACTTGATTCCAAGAATTTATAAAATTTATTTTAAACAAAATTAATATTTGACTCACTTTTGTGGAGCATGCTATTAGATGGGCTTGATCAAGCTTGTTCACTAATATAAAGTACTATAATGCCAAAAGACAGTGTTTTTAATGATTAAATGTGAAATTCTTGACATATGACCTATTGTTATAACAGTGACAATATAATAATACAAAATAATACATCTACCAGAAATATTGTTTTTAAGAAGTTTCTTAATATACATTAAATTTTTTCTTCAATAAAATATTGTACTTAATAGTTATTTCATTTAGTTTTATAAACACTTTACTAAACATTTACTATTGACAAACAAATTTACAAATATTTTTATACGATGTTCAACATTTTAAAAACTCAAAACATTCAAGTTAAATCTCAATAAAAATACATTATAAATGTAAGCTATTATTTGATGGAAACTAAGAATGCTCTTCTCAGTAATTCTTAATGTTATATTTTAAATTTTGTTTTAAGAATTTTATCATTTGCTGAAAATGAACTCTTAGTTCAAACAGATTTAAATTAAATATATTAATTTTTTTTATTTTGCTGATATTTTCTACAAATGAAGCATTTAATTTATAGTTTACTGTAGATTTGTTTTTTATGGATTTATTACAATTTAATTTATTAAAAATTAATTTTAAAAATTGTTCTGTTTATAATATTAATCCTAAAAATAAACTAGATACAGTTAAATTTACATTTATATTTAGATAAAAGAATTATAGTTTGTATCTTAACTTTTAAGTTAACAATATCCATTATTACTGTGTACTTAAAAAATAAATATTTATTAAACTAAAATAGTTTTTATAAAATAAAAATTAAATTAAATGTAATCAATTAATATACAAGTATATATAAGTAAATGAGGAATTGCAAAATTATTGGCATCTAATTAATTAATAAATACTTACTATATTTGTATCTGTGATTGTATCAACAACATCAAATGAACACAATGAACCTATTTGTTGTAATTTTATAATTGGTAGATTAGAAGCAAATTCCATTAAGAGTTGTATCCTTCTATCAGATAAATTTAATTTAAAACTTGGAAGAGAAACATTAAGTTTTTGCCTATAAATAAATTTATGAATTAATAAACAAATTTTCACTACAAAAACATTTTTTATTTACAAATTCATAACAATAATATGTATTTACCTAGGTAATTGCTTATACTCTGCTTTAATACTATTGGAGAAGAGTGTTTGAATTCTTGCTTTAGGTAATAAATGAATATCAGATTCAGGTAACTGCTTAGCATTTCTCCATTCATCACCTATATTCATATTATATAGACTTTAACAAATTCTTCAAAAACTAATTTAGATAGTGATAAACTAATGAAACCTTACTGTTACATTAAATGAATAACATTATTTAAACAACAGTATTTAAACATCTAATTCTAGATGAAATAGTATCATTTATTTGAAAAAATTCCTTAATTCATAATCAGTAAAAGTGTCAATGAGTGACATTTCTAAACATGCTTTCCATTAAATGTCAATAGAGTTGTTCAAGAATATTCCACTGCTTATTTAACAAAGTCTCTGATAGAGTTGCCACAAAGAAAGATCTTGCTGAGCTAGATTGGATGCACCATTTCAACTTGTTCTAAAAGTATTTGATTGTGTTTAAATCAGAATTCAATTGCAAACCTTTGAGACAGGCTGGTTTGGTGCATCCAATCTTGCTCAGTAAGATACTTCCTCTATGACAAGTCTAGAAAGGGCTTTTCTAGAGAAATGGAGGAATATTCCAGAATAAAACTATTGATATTTAGTGGAAAGCATAATTCAAAGGCTACTGCAGTAATTAAGTCCAGAGATAGGTCTTTGTAGTCATCATAAATATTACTTCTACTTCTTAAATTTTTGTTAATTTGTATCAGTGAAATTTGCATATACACTGATTCCCATGAACATCAAATTCTTGAACTTTGAGTTATTTTCATGTTAAATTTATAATTTGTTCTAACAAGACTTTAGGTCAACAGTAGCCAAACTGTGACCAGAAAGGGTCTTCTAGACCCTTATTCTGGCTCCCAAATACTTATACAATTTATTTTTATAAACTTGGTGCATACTACTTACACATATATATTTTTGTAAGTTTTCTGACTATTATGATCTCTGTGTATATTACACTATGTAATTGTAATTTTCAACTAAACCTCAAACAAACAACTAAAAGCATAGGGTACATTCATAAAGTCAAAGAAGTTAAATGATTGTTTACCTAGTCAGTCAATCATAAAGTATCAGTAAAGCAAGAGTGATATTTACAATAGAACAGTGATAGCTATATAATATGTAGTTAAATTACTATAAATAGACGATACAGCTCTCCAATAGACATTCCAATAGAGGATATGGCTCTCATTCATTTCCAATAGGCAATGTATTACTATCAAGATAAGGTTTGGCCACCTGTTTTATATATTACTTCTGTTTAAGAAAACTTTTCAGAAAAATGAATGATTTTATTAGATAAATATACTGTACATGGTCTATAGCAAAAGCCATTTTATTTGAGTCAAAAGAAAAAAAAACACACAAAACAGTAACATAACTTATGACAGACACCATATGAATGAATGCGTGTAATAATCTTCTAACATTGAACCTGCTCAAACATTCAGTTTCTGCAGGTGCTAATTCCAGTTTACAGTGTTCCATACTCTCCAATAATTTCCTGAAAGGTTGAAACCTTTCATGAAAGTTGAAAGTTTGGTGCATAAATTTCTGATCATGAATGATTGAATTTCCAAACATTAACATCGACAAACATCAAGGGTTTAGTATATATTAGTTTAGATTGTGAGGCTAATAATCAACAATATCATTGCCAAATTAAACAACTGTAGTAATAATTTATGACTAATTTTTTGTAAAATGAAAATATATTTCTGAATAAAATTACTTTGTTTTTAAATAAATTTTATTGTTTTATATTGTTGATGTGCACATTCTAAAGCACAGCTTGATTGATTTAAGTAAACAGGCTTCATTATATGAATTTTAATGTATTTTATACTTTCCTTCAGTATTAATCAAATTAAGTCAGCAGTTTTAAATAAAACTTTATCATCTTCTAATAAAATAGTTGAAACTTACCTGAATCAGCAAACAATATTTGAAAATCAGAAAGAACTATATTAAATCGATCATACAATCTTTCTTCAATTTCCATCTTTGTTGCTTCCTTAATCAACATAAATTCATATTATAATTTTAAATAAATATGTTATATTATTATGCTAATATAAATCTTTTATAATATATTCTACTCTATTTACCTCAAGTATAGTTGATTCAGGTTGAATATCACTGTTTATTATTAATCGGCCCATATCAAGAACAAGTATTGTACCGGCTCTGAAATTTCATTAGTAATATTTAACTTAATTTTCATTATGCATGAGGGTTAATCAAAAATGTCTGAGACAGACTTTATTGTAGGAAACCAAAAGCAATTATAGGTCACTGGAACTTATCTCCTTCAAAGTATGACCCTCCAGAAACAATTCTAGATATTCTTTCACTTTTTCATGAATATTTTGATAATTTGTTTGGCAATGGCCTATTGTTGTGTCATGCTCAGTTTTATCTTGTGATGTCTGATATTTTTTCTCCTTCGGGTCTTTTGAGCCTGGAAAAGAAGTCACAGGGAGCCAAAAGGTAGGGAACTACAGGGATTATATGCTTGGCCAAAAATTCTGAAACACTCATGGATGCATGGCAAGGCACACTGTCATGATGCAGAAATTAGTTACAAGAAGACCATTTCTAAAAGTATTTCCAATAACCTGGATTTCTAACACACTGCAGATCAGTTCTGATGATCAACATCTCATTGATTCATCCCTGTGTGGGGGTCATTATCAGTTGAAGTCTAGACAATTTTGATACATGAATACTATTCAAACATTTTGGCTGATGAGCAGTTTCTGAATGTTTGTTGAACTATTTTGTACATGTCAGTGATCATTTTGTCAATTTTCCAGAAAACTTTTGATGCAAACAGCAAACACATTGGCTTGCTCAATTCATCCATTTCACAACATGACAGAGAAAGCATGTGTGCACTGTTGTTCAACTCATTGACAATTGAGTCATGCTGCCTTCCACTATTCTGGCACTTGGTATCAAGAGATATAGTCAAATATCCACCATGGATTCTACAATACTATTATTAGTGTTTTTCTATGAAAAAAATTCTGTCCCAGACATTTTTGATCAGCCCTCATAATTTATTACTATATACCAGTACTGGTATATACAAATATTATATATATTCTGTTGAGATATTAGATTTTTTATTACAAAACGTTCTTATGTGCAGTAAATTAATAATATAGGCATTCTTAGAGTTTTATATTCTTCAAAAATGTATGGTTTGGAGTAAAAATTAGTAATTAAATTTAGTAATAAATAATATTTAATAATAATAGAAAAATCTATCAAATTTGCCAGTTATTTCACAGTAGTCAAATTTGATTTTTAAGTATAATTCTTTATGTTGTGTTCAAAACCGAGCTCAAAACAAATATAATAATTTAATATTAGAACGTTAGAATTAATAAATGGCTATGTTAACTAGGCACATCATGAAAATGTTTGGTAGACTAGCTTTACTGAGATTTCTGATAAAACAATTGAATAAATAAAAGGAACATTTTTTGCATCATTTCAATCTTAAATAAGTTCAAATTATTATCAACTCCAAAGAAATCTAAATCCAGTTACAAAAACAAATTTATTAACTTAACTAATGTTTTTGTCTTTGGAGTTGATTATACTTTACTAGCTGTTATCCGCAACTTTGCCCACGGTAGTTTTGCAAGCAAACCCCATTTATATTCAGTATTTCAACAATCATAGTAATCGTTATATAACACCTACCGCTGAAAATCAAACTAATTATTTTCAATTTGATCAATCGTTCTATAATCGAACCAATATGCAGTAACAAATTCGAATTTAAAACGGTTCGAACATTTGGTTAAAAAATGATGAATCAGTGAGTGAGTCAGTCAGTCAGGACAAGCAATTTTATATATATAGATGAATCCAGTTTTTGCAGTGATTAATGTTCAAATTATTATTCAAAGTTGAATGATATTCAATTTAATTAATTTAAGTTTGAAGTAAATGATATTTATATTGTAAATTATATTGTAGTAAATTTATTATTAGTTGTTAATTAAATTTAAATTGATAAATATTAACATTCAAACATTAAATTACTTTTGAAGTGAGCCATGCTCTGGAATGACGAAATATGGAGACTTCAAGTCAATACTTAAATGGAATGCAGTCTGAAAAAAAAAAAAAACTTATAATAATAATAAATAATAATAATTATCATCAAACAGAGATGTTTATTTTGTTAAATTAAGAAACAATAACAGAGATATTAACACTTTTTATATTGACACTTTATTTATTTATTTTCAATTACAATAGGAAAAGTCTTGTGACATTAGATTTCCTCCCCTTCAGTACAAGTTAACTTCAATTAAAACACATAGTCTTAATATACTAGTCTTTCCCAAAATAAGAATAGAACTGAAGTTTGTTGTCGTACAAAGGAAAATAGTTTTGTGTTCTTTACAAAGTAAAATATAATATATGTAAAATTATATATTTGAAAATTATAAAATATGTTTAAAGTGTTATAATCTATTTGAAATATCTANATAATTTTTAGGGAAAAAAATATTGTAAAGCGAAAGGTAAAAGAACACTTCGCTATAATTATGCAAAACAATAATGTTAATTTAAATACCGGAATGTTAACAGCGGAATGCTGGGAATTTTTTGTTAACCATATAAGTGGCTCTTCAATGAGTTGACTGTTAGAACGTAGATTTTGTGCTGTAAGCCCCACTGAAGAGGCCATAGGCGAAATGCATTTGGGAAGCTTGTTAGTAATGATGTAAATAAAAGTTTTTTCTCTGCATATTATTTTCTTTTTTATACCTTTTTTAAACTCTTTTTTTAAAAATTTTATAGTCATTATTGGCTTTTTTTAAAAATTGAAGTTTTATATTATCCAAAAGTCAGAAAGGAAAGAAAAATATAACTTTTTCGTAATTTTACATTTTATGTAAGAAAACAAAAGCATAAAAAAATATTATTAAATTTTTCCATGTCTAATTTCAGATTTTGAAGTTAATAAAACAAATTAAAATGTAACATGCAATAAACGAAAATGATGTATACAAATTTCCGTGTATTTAATAAATAATAATAAAAATAAATAAATAAATAAAACAATAAAAATTAATAAAACAAATGACCATTGGAATTTTGACATATCATATGATTAACAAATTCATGTTTAACAAGAAATTATTATATCTATTACAAAAACATTAATATGTTTACTTTTTAAAGTATTATATTAATCCTTATTTCAAGATCATAAAAACAACCACACACAACACTGATATCATCAACAACATACTCAACAAACCAACAAGTGGTGTGATAAAATCATAAAATTTGAAACAAGCTAGTATAGTTATATAATAATTTGTTAAACAACTACTGTGTCAAAATAGCTGGCTATTAATCTTCCATTATCAATTTTATAACAGAGTATTGATTTGGTGTCTGGGAGATTCATTATTATTATGGGATCAAAAATTTAAAAATAATTTAAACAATTATTTGTTTGTAGAAATATTTCTTAAGAATTTTTATATAAAATCTTGTAAATGAAATCTCTAGAAAATTCATATTTGTTTTCAAAATTCAAAAGAATTAACTAAATATGTTAATTACATATACATCAACCAAACTTGATTATTAATGGTCAAATGAACTGCCAGATTATTAATTGGGCTATAACAAGGCTAATTTAATAGTTAGATGTAAAGCAGTTTGACTGTAAGTAAGTGGTTAAACTGCCATCTAATTATGGCAGTCTAACCACTCTGGAAAAAAAGATCAGCCCATTGTGGGACTCAAATCCTTAACTCCTGCTTAGCATGCAGATGCATTGCCAATTATGCTAACTGAACCCTCCCTGATCTTCACTATCAGAGTAATTAACTGAGATTACTCTTGTTGTAGCCAGTAATTACTAAACCAATTAATTAATTAATTAATTAGTTTAGTAATTTAATTGTTCTGGAAGCAATGATTGTAGGTCTGATTAGTGGAACTAACTGACAATGCATCTGCATGGTAAGCAGGGATTGATGATCTGAGTCCCACCCAGGCCAATCTTTTCTTCCAGAATGTTCTAATTTTAAATTAAAAATTAATTTATTTCTAATTATTAAATTTATCATTACACGACAAACTAATCATCTAAATACAGCTGGATTGTTTTATATGTAATCATTAAATTAGCCTTGTAATAGCCTGATTAATAATCTGGCAGTTTGATTGAAATTATATTCATTACATGAAAACAAATTTAATACTGATTTTCAATTTTTATTAGTTTTGCAAATATTATAAACACAATTAACATTTTTAGATATATAAAACTGTCACAATATATGCACATCTATATTTAGTCACAAGATTTGTGAGTGTATTTAAAAATATGCTTTCAATAAAACATTAAAATGTCACAACACTATCAAAATCTTGTCAAAAATCTTTAACTTCTAGTATTGTTAGCATATATAATTTTTGTCCTACTATTAAATTAGTAATAAAACAGAACAGAAATAATAAAAATAATTTTATAGTTAAAACATCTATTCTGTATATATCATAAAAAATTAAGACAATAATAATTTATGGTGGTATCTAATAAATTCTCATCAAATAAAAATATTGCATGAAGTTTGTTAATATGATTCACGTTAATATTAATTAAACATATTGTAAAGTACTTGTATATATCATTATAAAAAAAAATAATTTAGTAGAAAACTATCTGCCTTTCTGTAACAAGACATTATAGATTAAATCAAAGATTGTGTCATTTGTCAGATGTCATGTCAATAACTGAAGGTTAATTGAGTCAATATGTTGTGAAATAATCTTAATGGCTCTGAAATAAATGAAACTTTCTGTGGCTAAAACTATTCTATAGATAGCAATATATGATAAACAACATAGGTATTTGGTTTAAAGGAAATTTAAAATATTGTATATGTGTATGTATACGTAAATAACCACAAAAATTAACTTTTTTCCTCTTTTTCTCAAATATAAGGAAATGCAATACAATAATAAAGTAATTTGAAAGCTTTGATTTAAATCCTTTTTAAACTGCATAATTAGGTTGCAATTTGAAAAAATTGCACACCTATAAATTCCTACTGTCTATCCATCTGTCTTGTCTTTCCTTAATCTCAGGAATGGAGTTAGATAGATAAAGACAAAACAGATATGGAAACCTTAGGGGCAGGAGGCCCTGATTAACTATATATGAACTTTTGATGCAAACCGGAAGTCATGTTATTTCAGTTCAAAAATTTTCCCTGAAAGGTGTTAGATATATGATCGACACAATTTGATTGTTAAAGGAAAAGTATAGTGTACAGGGACAAGCCACTACTAATTTAACCTATTCAATGTTGAAATTCTTCTCTGTTGCCTGTGACGCAATGTTGAATTTTTGTCGATGTTATGCCTAACAATTTTTTTTTTTTAAATAATAATTGTGTTTACTGTGTCATTAAAAATTTTTTTATGTTGCACAAAGAAAATAAATATATTGAAAAATATAAAAACAAAAAAGTTATATTTTAAAAGTTCGTTTTAATATAAAAATTGTGATACATAGCGACATCTAGTATCAAAAACGTTCCAATGCAGACACAAAAATACTCGGGATCGCCCACACAGGTCAATGAGGTCAATACAAAAATTTTTAAATTAAAACTCCAAAACCTTTAAACGTCCAGTAGTAATCAATTTAATAATAAACAAACGTTTTCGACTGTACTCTCGGTCTTCATCAGACTTAAAATCCGTTAGATTCAAACCTGTGCAAACATAGAACAATGTTTATGAAATTTTTCGAAGTTAATTTTGAAAATTAACTTCGAAAAATGGAACCGCACAAACTGATTTTAAAGACTACAGTTATGCATGCGCATTGCCATGGCGATGGAATGGCATACGTAATACATACAATTATATAAATATATATAAATAAATACACCAAATGGGGATGTTGTCTTTAATTGGTGGAGTGGGCGTTGCCCGTTACCTCATAGCAGTATTTCCAAGCGTGGAATACATTGACCGCATCATTAGCGTTAATGCAATTGGTGTGTAACCCGGCTTTGTAAATTTCCAATGCCTCCAGATTTTGTAGGTGTTCCACTCAATGAGAAAGTTTGATCAGTTTGGCCTCATGTAGGTCAGCTCTTATGCCGGGATCAGTGGCATACGTTGATAGGGCGGTGGTGTGCCTTTTATTAACGATGTCGTATTTGTGTTCATGCAATCTTTTATTCAAAGAGCATTTTGTGGACCCAATGTAAACTAATTCCCTTTGAAACCTGTTGTCCCATAGAGGGACCATGTAAACCCCCGGTGCTTGCTTCTTATTGATTTTGTCTTTGCCACCGCAGAGTAGCCCATATACAGTGCTAGGCCTCTTGTATGCAATCCTAGTGTTAGTATGGGCGGCAATCTCCCTGTAAACTGAGTTGAGGTGATGATTGTACTCAACTACCGCATGAGACTGTGTGTTATTTACGTTGTGTATTGTAACAAAAATTTTTGGGAACAATGCAGAACAGGTTAAAGTGGAAAGCTTATATTTTAAATTAAATAAATTAAAAATATTAATAAAAATTGCAGCCCAGCATTGTGATGATGTCACAATAAGTAATTGCTCATTTATCTTTCAAAATTAGGCAAATATACATATACTAGTAGCCTGGGATGCCCCCTAGTGGGCGTTATTTACAAATTTCCATGAGGCACGGTTCCTTTGACTTTTTTGTTCCTATCAATATGCTGTACAGCTCTGTTAAAGTCCCAATGGTAAGATTTACCCTCCAAATGAAGAGGTGGTGACCCCCCAAACTGTAGCCCCTGTGCGAACAATAAAGTCAAAGGAACCATACCCTTACTCGCAACCCTTCGCAAGATATAAGCCCCTGAAATAATAAATTCCTATTACAAATATACTGAATTATTTATATTGTTATATTGACCAAATAATAATTTATGGGCCAAATGAATAATAATAATTTATATTGTTAATTTAAATAA